TGCCCGGCCCTGCCTCCTCGTCCTCCCCTGCGTGTGCTGCCCGGCCCTGGGTCCCCGTCCTCCGTGTGCTGCCCGGCCCTGCCTCCTCGTCCTCCGTGTGCTGCCCGGCCCTGCCTCCTCGTCTTCCCCTCCGTGTGCTGCCCGGCCCTGGGTCCCCGTCCTCCCCTCTGTGCTGCCCGGCCCTGGCTCTCCGTCCTCCGTGTGCTGCCCGGCCCTGCCTCCCCGTCCTCCCCTCCGTGTGCTGCCCGGCCCTGCCTCCCCGTCCTCCGTGTGCTCCCGAGGCCCTGGCTCCCCGTCCTCCCCTCTGTGCTGCCCGGCCCTGCCTCCCCGTCCTCCCCTCTGTGCTGCCCGGCCCTGCCTCGCCGTCCTCCCCTCCGTGTGCTGCCCGGCCCTGCCTCCCCGTCCTCCGTGTGCTGCCCCGCCCTGCCTCCCCGTCCTCCGTGTGCTGCCCGGCCCTGGCTCCCCATTCTCGGTGTGCTGCCCGGCCCTGGCTCCCCATTCTCGGTGTGCTGCCCGGTCCTGCCTCAGCGTCCTCCCCTCCGTGTGCTGCCCGGCCCTGCCTCCTCGTCCTCCCCTCCGTGTGCTGCCCGGCCCTGGCTCCCCGTCCTCCGTGTGCTGCCCGGCCCTGCCTCCTCGTCTTCCCCTCCGTGTGCTGCCCGGCCCTGGCTCCCCATTCTCGGTGTGCTGCCCCGCCCTGCGTCCCCGTCCTCCGTGTGCTGCCCGGCCCTGGCTCCCCGTCCTCCGTGTGTATATGAGTGTATGTGCTTGCAAACTCACCTCCCACTCCCCCGATTGGCTTCCGACCATAACCATTGTCAGGTCTCCCGGTTCTGTGTCAGCTGTCCACTGCTGTTTTCTGAGTCTCAAGCATAGAAGATGGATTTGTTCATATCTGACAACCCCCAACCCCTTTAACATCCTAGGTCTTAGGGTTGAGAAATGGGGAGCTGAGTTCCATAGAGATAACTTCAAAACAGGGCTGTTTGGAGGCCTGGATTCCCTGAGGACAGCCTGGGGACCCCCTCCCCGCTTTCCTGATGTGTGGGGTTACATTTTTTCAGGTATCCTCCAGGTAGGATCTGGGTACTGTGCCAGGGTTAATTCAGGTCCACTGGGCTGTAGGTTTGCCAGTCAGTTGTTAACATCGGCTTTAGTGTTACCTTTAGCGCTGGTCATTATTTTACATACCGTTTATTTCAGACGAATTTGAGGTGAAGTGGAGGTTGGGGCAGAAAAGTGGGACAGCAAGACTAGGGTTTGGGGTTACACCTGAAGAGTAACTCTTTTGAAAGCTTTCCTATTTTTCACCCAGGTGTTTAGAAAACAGAAATAAAAACAAGCCCTTCAGGGTTGTAATCCACTTCATACACCCCTTTATGTTGTGGAGCAAACAACATTTAGCAATTCCTTTATGTTCAGATTTCTCTTTTCCCACCCCCATACGTTTTAGTCATTACATTGGTGTCTGAATCCTGAGTATTCACCGTTATTTTCACATCTCATATATAGGGTATCATTTGTTCTTAGGGTGTTCAGGCAATGCTGAACATGGAAAGCTCCATGAACAGATTTTTCTCCTAGGCACAGTGTCTGGCTTGTGTCAATTTGCCTGACAAATTTGAACTTATAAATTTATTCTAGGGCTGATTCTGAGTTTGTCAGTAGTAATTAAGAGAAATTGGATGGCTTATACAATCCATCATTTCATATTTTACCTTTAATCAATATACCCAAGCAACTCCCATGTTGAATGCAGTTTTGCATTGCTTACAGTGTGTTCTCAAGAATTTAAATGGGATGGTTGCTGCTGACAGGCTTGTGTCTTTTGAAATCGTAAGCTGAAGTGGTTGAAGTGTAGGAGGGCCATATTTGGCTGGAACTTGGTGATGAGAAAGGTTCTAGTGCTGTTTTGTGAATACAAATAAAATACTGTCCTGTTTTTATGTGGCTCAGTATTAGGTGCAGATATATGGCAGGTTAGTTCATTTTTTTTTTTTTCCTGATGAACATTAGCTATATAAGACAATATTGCTGTAACTAATGTGGTCATGTAGAGAGTTTGTACTATTTGGGGAACAGTTTTTTAGCAAGGTCACAAATAGAAGCTAATACACTCTCAACAGGTTTTGTCCATGGGTTTTAACAGTCCAGAAAAGTCAATCTAGAGAGAGCCAGGCATGATGTTACACATTTAATCCCAGCACTTAGGCAGAGTCAGGTGGATCTGTGAGTTCAAGGTAACCCTGGTCTACTTAGAGAGTCCCAGGCCAGCCAGGGCGAATAGTGAGACCCTGTCTAAAAAACAAATAAAAATTTTAATCTGACAATTTTTATTTTATAGTTTCTTGAGCATTATTTATGAACCAACAGTGGAAGCAGAAAAAGAAAGCAAAAAATTACGGAGTTCAGTACAACTCCTCTGGTTCTTGGAGCCCTCTTGGGAAGAGCTCCTGTGAGTAGATAAGGCAGAGGAAATAGGACAGTGAGAGATAGGGTTAGAACACGATGAGTCGTGTCTGAGAAGGAAAGCTCTGTTGATTAGAAAGAAGCCCAACAACTTTCACTGTGCTCGAGCAGTATCATTTATGTGAGACAGATAGGCTTCCTGTGCAGCGGAGTGTGTGTTTCGGTCAGTGACCACAGTGATAAACGTCCGGAGATCATTTAGTGTGGAAGGAAGAGAGCAGAAGTGTGGAGGAACAGAAAAGGCAGGGGAGGGGCTGTTGGATGGGAGCGGGCGGCAGTCAAGGGTGGCCCTGGTGCGTGCACAGGCGGCCTTCCAGAGTGCTAGTACAACTCGTGCACAAACGCTCAGGACACATTTTCCTTGCATTCTGTGCAAGGCTGGCCTGCAGCTGCGGGTGTGCTGCACACTGGCCTCTGCATGTCTGCAGATGAAACTGAATCCCTAGATAGTGAATGTAGAAACTTAAGTTAGCCTTGTAGATTCAGATTCTTAACTACTTCAGTTGTGTGGAGGGTATGAGTACTCCAGAGACAGTAGGTGACATATCAAAGTCATCATGAAGTCCCAAAGCATAGGAAGCAATTTGTTCTAAGTAGTTTTCAGGAAAAAAGTTCGGTGATATCTAGTGAAAGGTGAATAAGAGTTCTCTAAGAAAGAAAGAGGCAATGGTACATTTTGCTTGGGAAATGGGAAATTTCTTGTGAACTGTCCATTTTGAAGTATGTACAAGAAGGTCTAGAATTTTGAAGTGATTAGACGGGCTTTTCTCAGTAATAGCCTCTTCCTTATTTTACTGAAGGAACAAAAATCATAGTAACCAGTTTAGGATTGCTGGCCCAGTATTTGGAACACAGGTCTCTTAGTTTATTTCTCTTGATATTTTATGTATGAAAATGCAGAGAATTTTAGGATAAAAGTGATTCTTGGTAATAATCAAAAAAGTATATTGAATATTCTTTATTTCTAGCATTTTAAAATTCCTTTGAGAAATAATGAAAAAAAGTATAATTTCCTTATGTAAATTAGGAGTTTAAACAAATGCAATTAACTGTAGCAAAAGGTAGTTTAGGGATGTGAATGAAATGATTTGGGAATGGAAGGAAGAAAATATATATTATTATTCTGGTCACCTTTCATTTTTCTTTTGCAGTAGTAAAAATACAGGAAAAGAGATCAACATTTTACCTAAATTCATGTGTCATTCTCCTTTATTCTTGCCCTTTTTTTCTGTGCCCCCCCATCATTATTTCTTGTTTTTAAAGAAATGATTCTTTTTAGTACTTTACAGTTTTCTTTTCTTTTTTTTTTTTTTTTTTTTTTTTTTTTTTCTTCTGGAGCTGAGGACCGAACCCAGGGCCTTGTGCTTGCTAGGCAAGTGCTCTGCCACTGAGCTAAATCCCCAACCCCTACTTTTCAGTTTTCATCTGTAACAGAAGGTAATAGTAAAATTGTAACTTGGTGACTGTTTACTGTGAGCCAGGAATTGAGTACTTCTTAGGTTTGCTTATTTTGATTTTATGATATGAGTGTTTTGCTTGCATTTATATGTGTGAACCATGTTCGTGCATTGCCTGTGGGGGCCAGATGAGGGCATTGAATCTACAGAAACTGGAGTGCCACGTGATTACTGTGACCTGAATCTGGGTTCTCTGGGAGATCTGTAAGTACACTAGCCATTTCTTCTGAGTACTCAGTGCTTTAGAGACCTTAGTTAAATAACTAGCAGGAATCTCGCTTTTTAGATAGGGAAACTGGCACAAGAAAGTCATGTAGCCAATGAATGGTATAGCTAATTTGAGTCTTGAAAGTCTCTAGGCATATGATCTTATGCTGCCTTGACTGTAATTAATACAGCCTCCCCCACCCTGGTGCTGGTTAGGGCTCCTGTTGGCTAGGAAGGTGTTCTATCAGCGATTAAAACCTCAGCCCGTATATACATATATTTTTTTCAAGTTGAGTCTGTTTTTCAGATTTCGCAGGTACCATGCTTGTACTGGTAGAATCCTTTTTTTAATGTTTTTTTTTTTTTTTTTTTAAAGATTTATTTATTTATAGTGTATACAGCATATATGCCTGCAGGCCAGCAGAGGGCACCAGATCTCATTACAGATGGTTGTGAGCCACCATGTGGGTGCTGGGAATTGAACTCGGGACCTCTGGAAGAGCAGTCGGTGCTCTTAACCTCTGAGCCATCTCTCCTGCCCCAACTTTTTTAATTTTTAAAGTGATTTATTTTTATTTTGTGTGCATTAGTGGTCTGCCTGCATGTGTGCTCTTAACTGCTGAGCCATCTCTCCAGTCCCAAAAATAACTTTAAATTTGTATCAATATACTATATTCCCCTAAGTGATAACAAACATCCATAACCCACCAATTAACCAAAAGCCTCCCACACCCCTCTTAGGAATGTGGACATCACGTTCTTCCAACTGCTTCCTGCTGTCTGTGGATGAAGTATCTTTAGGGTCCTAGAGAGAAAATTTGAGATGATGGCCAAATCCTGGGAAGACCAGCTGTAACCTTTGTTAAATACCACCTATCAAGATTCAGGAGGTCTCCCCTGATCATACCTGATCCATATTATTCCTGAAGGAATCCATAACCTCTCATCTCCTCTGGCAACAAAAGCAAAAACTCTTCTCCAAAGCATTTTGGATTTCCATTTGACAAAATTTTTTTTCTTTACTTTTTAAAAGTTAAGGCATTCCTAAAGTATACAGGCTGATTTATTTCAACAGTCCCTTTCAATTCCAGATCTCTGCAGCTGTCCTTTGCTTTTCAACAATCAAAAAATATACCTGTATGTTAAATGCTATATACCTGTATGTTAAATGCTATGCTACTTGTTTCTCTCTTGTTTAGTTCTAATTGTATAAGCTAAAAACAGAAATCTTGCCGGGCGTTGGTGGCGCACGCCTTTAATCCCAGCACTCGGGAGGCAGAGCCAGGCGGATCTCTGTGAGTTCGAGGCCAGCCTGGGCTACCAAGTGAGCTCCAGGAAAGGCACAAAGCTACACAGAGAAACCCTGCCTCAAAAAACCAAAAAAAAAAAAAAAAAAAACAGAAATCTTACCACATACCATATTTACTGTTCTCTCTCCCCTCCATTCCCCCTTTCTTGCTTATTTATTTATTTTTTTTTGAGACAGGGTTTTTTTCTGTGTAGCCCTGGCTCACCTGGAACTCACTATGTAGACCAGGCTGGTCTCAAACTCACAGAGATCCACCACCACTCTCAGCCTCTTTCTTTTTGAGGCAAAGTCTCATGGATTCCAGATTGACTTTGAACTGGCTACATAGCAAGAATCTGGCCTTCTGCTTCCCCTCCCAAATTCTGGGATGACAAGCCGTAGCAATACTTTTGTATTCTTCCAGCTCTCTAACCCTTAGCAACTACAGCTTATTCTGCATATGAATTTGCCTATTTTGGGCATTCCATGTAAGTGGAGTCATTCAATATGCAATACCAAATATTGTGTGTCTTGTATGTAAGTTCTTTTCATTTTGTACAGTATTTTCAAGAGTTATCATTTTTTTGTATTATGTACTTAGTACATTATACTTTATGGTTAGATACTATTATATGGATGACTTGCTTTTACTTACCCATTTATTAAGTGATGGATATTGGTTATTTCTACTATTTTGTCTGTTACGAATAATGTTACTGTGGATGTATGTCCACATTTTAATGAGAACATATATGGTCAGGTCTCTTGGGAAATACTCATTTTTCCCCATCCCCAGCTGGTGATGATTGATCATTTACTGTCACTAGTTGACAGAATGTCATAGATTTGGAATCATACTGTATCAGACCAGAGTATTTCACTGAGTAGTATTTAAGCCTTCATGACGTGGTAGCTGATTTTGTCACTGTTCCATTGTGTAGATAGTTCATGGCTGTTTATTTACTGATTGAGTTAAGGTCTCACTGTATAGCCTGACTGGAACTCGGAGACCTGCCTGCTTTCAGTCTTCTGAGTGCTGAGATTAAAAGGCTACACCACATTTTAAGAACTTCTTGTACATGTTGGTTTCACATCTTCTGTTATACTATATGTAATTGGTAAATATTTGTTTGCAAGTGGGTAGTTTCTCTTTTCTCTATATTGTCTTACACAGAACAAATTTTAATTTTCTTAATTTAACTGTCAGTTTTCTTTTGTGATGGCTTTGCATCTAGAAAGGTAGATTCAAAGTTGCAGAGATTTTTCTCGTATTTTTTTTCCCTAGAAGTCCCCCTCCCCCACCCCCCAACAGTGTTTCTCTGTGTAGCCCTGGCTGTCCTGGAACTCAGTTCTGTAGACCAGGCTGGCTTTGAACTCACAGAGATCTATCTGCCTGCCTCTGCCTCCTGAGTGCTGGGATTAAAGGTGTGCGCCACTGCCGCCCAGCTAAAAGTCTTAGGGTATTGTGTTACATGTTACATCTATGATCCAACTCAAATTACTTTTTGTATAAGGTGTTGAATTTGTCTCCATTTGTGGTTCTGCATATGGATTTCTCATTGTTTTGACAACATTTCCTGAAAAGATCACTCTTCCTTCATTGAATTTTATTTCTTTGTCAAAGATCAGTTGTCTACATTTATGTCAGCTTTGTGACTTTAAAAGTAGCTTTATTTAGATATAAGCACATACTTCACAAATTACATATTTCAAACATGATTTGGTGTATTGGTATTTTCCCAAGGTTGTGCAATTATAATCATTATCAACCTTATTAAAAAGCTGAATCCCCCCCTCCCCCCCCACTGGCTACTGACAGTATTTGTTGACCTGACTGAATGTTAATGTACTTTTAGCATAGCCAAGCTAGGAAACAGCCTGGTGATTTGTTAGGAAGCTAGGCATAATCTTTCTATTCAACTTAAAGCCCTCTCCTTTAAAAATTGCCTTTTTCATGAAGGCACTAGTGTCCTTGTTACTCCTAAAGTTCCTAAAGACATTGGGTGTATTTAATGCATGTGCACATACTGGTGGATGCACCTATGAGTGGAAACCAGTGGTTGACTTTGGGTGTGTTCCTTATCGTATTACTCAGTTTCTTTAGTTATTAGTTGTTTAATTCTTTCATGGTATTGGTTTTCTTGGAATAGTTGGTGATATAAGGGTTGTTTGCTAATTTGTGTTTGATAATTTTGATGGTTTGTTTTCTTTTTAGTGAGTGCAGTTTTTGATTATAGGAGCTTTCCTTTGATACTAGTAGGAGAATGAAAAAATATCCCTCTGCCCGCCCTGTGTGTGTGTGGGTGTGTACCAATAGATGATTGCTTGATTGCTAGGGTACCCTTACCTGTTGGGCAGGTAATCCAGACTGCTCTCAGGCTTAGCCTATTGCTGTGCACTTGTTGCCCCTTCCTTGCTTCTCAGGAAAAGGCTGGAAAAGGTCAATTGCGGAGAGATTGTTCATTTCCTGTATAATCTACTGAAAACCCCACAGTGCCTCTCCTGTAATTCAGGTTTTTAATTTGGACCACAGTGGGAATTACTCTTCATAGCAATCTCTGTAAGACTCAAGATTTCCTACTCTAGGCCATTTGTGTATGTGTGTGTGTGCGCCCGTGTATATTGGTGACTGTGTATGCGAATGGAAACTAGAGGTTGTTGACTTTGGGTGTCTTCCTCAATTATATTATTCTGATTCTTTGAGACAGGTCCTTACTGAATCTGGAGCTCAGTGATAGGAGCTCCAGGGACTCTCTTTCCTCCTAAGCCTAAAATTATAGGTGTGCAATTCCTCCTAGGTGCTTTTTTTGTTTTGGTTTTTTGAGAGGGTTTCTCTGTAGTTTTGGTGCCTGTCCTGGATCTTGCTCTGTAGACCAGGCTGGTGTAGATGTAACCAATCGTCTTTTTAAAATAAGAAACACAGAGCCAATGTAAAAGAGAAAGCCGAGCCGGGCGGTGGTGGCGCATGCCTTTAATCCCAGCACTCGGGAGGCAGAGCCAGGCGGATCTCTGTGAGTTCGAGGCCAGCCTGGGCTACCAA